GGGGGGGGCCGCGCATGCGCGCCGCGTGCCCGCCCCTCGCCAGCAGCAGAGGAGGAGGTGGCGGTGGCGGCTCTGGGCGAGGGAGCGCGAGGGGAGTGAGAGGCGCCGTTGCCGCCTCGGTATCCGGCAGGACCGCGCGGAGGAGGCGGGAGCGCCCCGGCGCCGGAGGGACCTGAGTGGCGGCGGCAGCAGCAGCAGCAGCAGGAGGAGTCAGTGCCCGGCCCCCCCCCCCGCGCAGCCCCGTTGGCCGGGCGGATGTGCAGGCCCGGCGGCGGCGGGAGGAGGCCATGTTAGCGCCCTTTTGTCTGCGCCGCCGGCCCGGCTTCCCTCCCCGCGGGGCCGGGCGGGGGGCGCTGCGGCTCGGCGGAGCAGCGGGACCCCCCCGCCGCCCCTCCCGGAGCAGCATCCGCGGAGCCTCATTGTGCTCCGCCGCCGCCGCCATGATGCGCCGGCCGCGGCCGCGTGGTGCTGCCGGGCCGCGCGGGGATGGAGCGGCGGAGACACGCGGCGCTGGGGCCGCCCGCGCCGGCCCCACGTGCGATCTCGGCTTTTAAAGGTCGGGGTTGCCCCCGGCCGCAGCGCCTGCCCCACGTGCGTGCCCCGCGCCCGGAGAGGCCGGGCTGTCCCCCAGCGCGGGCCGGGCCGTGCGGGACGCGCACCGGGCGCTGCTCCGCTCCTGCCGCTTCCCGCGGCCGCTCATTCATCTCCCGCGCGGTGGGTAAACAGCGCTCCGTAACCCCGGCCTCGGCCAGACTTGCTCCAGGGGAAGTGCCCAGTAGAAAATACCTGCCAAACGGCGGCTTTCGCGTCTCTTTCGTTTGTAATTGTCTTTTTGAACGTTCTTTTCGGTTTTTGGAAGGTGGCATGTGCCCAGATAGGCTATTTCTATTGATACTCCAGCGCTCTGTAAATTACTGTACGTTTCTTTAAATGTGTTGGTCGTAGCAAATGTGGCTTACAACTTTTTAATTAAAATATTATTGGCTTATAATTTAAGTTGGCTTGTAAAACAGTGTAGCGGGATGTGAGCTGTGGTTTCTAAGGGTGAACTCACTTTAAGGGCTGTTTTATCAAACTTTGCTGCACTTCAGCTGCAGCACGCCCTGTAAAGCTGGTGCTTTGAGGCCTTGTAACTCTTGTGACATTTAACAGAAATACTTGAGAACTTCTGCAGTAGATCGCTAGAAAATTTCTCAAAGAGAAACCCCAGGTGATTTGTCAGGCTCATGAATGAAGGGATATTGACACATTTTCATCTGTTTTTCAGAAAAAGAGCAACAGGAAGCAATTGAACACATTGATGAAGTACAGAATGAAATAGACAGGTAAACATTATCTAACTTTTAAAATATTTTAGCAGAAGTTGAAATGTAGCTGACAAAAGTGAAAGTGTGTAGTAAAGTGAGCACTCAGTAGTACTCACTGTCTTTGAACTCCACCAAGATATACCTGTGTTCTGACTTGATTAGAGACATTAAAATAACAAAGAAGTGTCCTGGTTTCTTGCTTAATTGTGTATAATTAAAGAGGTGGAACTTGAGTTTAAAATTCTTAATTAATTGTGGTATTTTTACTAGTAGAAATGTATTTCACATTGGCCTCTCAAGTTAATGTGTAAGCTGTTTGGCTAAAGTATTTCCCTGTTAGCAAGCAGAACCAAACACTTGGCTGAAAAGTCAGGTTTTATTATACATTTTTATTATAATATTCATGTGCTTGTGCAATTATATGCAGAAAATGTCTCTGAGATGTTAATTTTTTATGCCAAAGCTCTTGGGGCTGTGTGTTCTGTGTCAGTCCCTGCCTGCATGTTCTTTCCATGCCCAGTGTCCTACAAGGACTGCAGGTGGCTGTTGGGGCTGTGAATGTGTGAAGCTGTTGCAGTGTGAGGGCTTTGCCTTTTTACAACAACTTCTCAGTTTTAAGTCTTCAGATTTTACTTGCACAGGGTGCAGAATTTCTTTGCTGTAGCTTCCTTGCCTGCCCAAAAGTTTTAGGGGGCAGGTGGTAGGGCTGTGTTACCCTTCTGCAGGTTTTATGCAGGCAAACTGTTCAAGAGGTAAAACACTGCTTTGTGTTTAGAAGGTTCCATTCAGACCAGTGAGGTTGCTTGTGGCAGAATGTTTTTTAACAGTTCTTGCTGCTCTGAGCTTCTGGCTTTTTTGGGACACTTCATCTGCAGAAGATGGCAGACTGGTCTTATCAAACCCTTCCAGCTCGTAGTTGACTGCTCTGATGTGTCCTTAAATCCCAGTTCTCCCCCTGTGGTTAACATGGCTCTCTCTATTACAGACTGAATGAACAAGCCAGTGAGGAAATTTTGAAAGTAGAACAGAAATACAACAAACTCCGCCAACCATTCTTCCAGAAGAGGTCAGAATTGATCGCCAAAATCCCAAATTTCTGGGTAACAACATTTGTCAACCACCCACAAGGTACATTCTTAATAGCCCTCTTTTTTCCCCCTGTAAATTCAGTGTTTGCTTGATTGTTATGTGAGTGCTTTAAAGCTCTTGTCTTGCGGTGTTGTTACTGAGCATACAGAACACTTCCTCTCTGTCCTAGATTTCATTGTTTAAGCTTTGCCTTTCTTGCACTTGTTGGCCAAAGGAGCGTCTTGTTTATTAAAATATTTCAATCCTAAAATTTCTTTCTGCATTTTAAATTTCAAGTTTCCCACTTTATTCAGTTCGTTGGGAACTTAAAGCAAAAAGAAACCAAAAACAAAACAAAACAAACAAAAAAAAAAATAGTTTTAGATTGTTTGGGTGTTTTTTACTTGGAATGAGCTCCTTGGGACTCTGACAATAAACTTTCTACAAAACAAGTTCGTAGACTGCTTAGATTGGGCAAACTACATGCATGAAAATCTGTTTCAGAGGGAAGGGTGGGTATGTGTGGGTAGGCTGTTGGCTGGTAACTTGAAAAGGAAGAGCCATGGAAATTGGCTGGGACAGATGTGTTGGTTTTTAGATCTTCCTGGCTATCATTTTCCTGTGTTTTGCCTGCCTGTTTCATAATGTGGGATTCCTCCTTCTCTCTCAGTATCTGCACTGCTGGGAGAAGAAGATGAGGAAGCACTGCATTACTTGACCAGAGTTGAGGTGACAGAATTTGAAGACATCAAATCAGGTTACAGAATAGATTTTGTAAGTACTTTAAATGGTTCATTCACTTGTGATTTTGCTGTCGTTTTTTTAATGTAATTGCATGTTGGGTTGTAGTTTATAACTTAAATCTCTACACTTACCTATTTAGTGCCAGGTTTGACTTGATTTGTGTGTTTCCATTCTGTGGGTTCTAACTCTCTGCTTTCCACTCTGCAGTATTTTGATGAGAATCCCTACTTTGAAAATAAAGTTCTCTCCAAAGAGTTTCACCTCAATGAAAGTGGAGACCCATCTTCAAAATCTACTGAGATCAAATGGAAATCTGGAAAGGTATGTATTGCATCTGGGAGAGCACAAGTGTGACCAAGTAAAAACATTACCAAGTGCATTAGCTTGACTCTTCCTTGGCCAGGATCTAGACTGTGTTGTGTTGTTTACTTAAAATAACTGTTAAATGAAGCATTCCAAGGACAACAGGTTTAGGGGGATCAGATAGCAGTGTGTGATCTTGTTTTATATTTTACTCTGTGTCTTCGACTTCATTTCCAGATGCCACATCTTTTGTAGAATTTGCAGCCATAGTAATTTGGGCATACCTGTCACCTGGGCAGTGTTCAAGAATCATTAATTTACTGCAGTTTATATCTGTAGAAGTTCTTCAGTGTTATCCTGAGGATTTTGAACTGAGTTCTTAAAAGTAGAGCTGAGGCTTGCAGTGAAATTGCAGTTTGTTTTGTCACTCTCAGACCAAGGAGAAAATTTAATGTTTTTCTTATTGAGAACTAGAATTTTTCCTCTTGTACCAGAAATTGCATTCCTGTACAGACCAGTTGTGTGATCTTTACAATACAGCACAAAATCAGTGTGAATTCTGCTTTGTTCTTATTAAACAGTCTGAACCTATAAATGTTGTCATTCTGTCAGGAGAAAAAGCACTGGAAGTATGGTGTAACCATATGATGAAAGAAATAATTTATTTAATTTCAGACTTAACAAAAGGATTGTTGGAAACTTACTACACTTTTTTTCTAGGATAAGGTGATGGATACAGACCTTACATGTATTCTTGTCGCCATGTGTTTAGCAGTTTGTGTGGGGCTTTTTTGCACATACTATAGAGTGGCCTGAAGACTTCAGAGTGGGAAATCTTAGGCAAAAAAGCCTAGGCAGGTCTTTATATCCAAATGCTAAAAGAGCTTAGAGGTGTGGAGACTTCCTTAAATTGGGGGTATGTAGTAGTTGCTGCAATTACAACTATTCTGAGTGGCATTTAGTCATTGTGAGACCTTGGAAGTTCAGTGTGTCATTAAACACTCGTTGTACTTGTGTTTCCCTGAGATTATGTGAATTTTCAGTGTTCCAGTGGAGGCCATTGAAAGAAACAAGTGGGTTTACTGGTCTCTCATGTGCATGAGAAGTGCAATATCTTGTGTCAGTTGTTTGGGCTTCAGATGTGTTTTACAGACTTACCTTCAAAGAGGGAGGGGAAAGTGACTTTTGAGGGTTGTTTAGACAAGTACATTTTTAAGTGGTGCTTATAGGGAAAAAACACCATAGAAAGACAACTTTAGAGAACTTCTTAACTTTCTTTTCAGGACCTGACAAAACGTTCAAGCCAGACACAGAACAAAGCCAGTAGGAAGAGGCAGCATGAAGAGCCAGAAAGCTTCTTCACCTGGTTCACTGACCACTCTGATGCAGGGGCTGATGAGTTAGGAGAAGTCATCAAGGATGACATCTGGCCAAATCCCCTACAGTACTACTTGGTAGGTAGAGCCCTGAGCAGGGCATCTGCACCCTCAACAGCTCTGGGAAAGAGTGGATGTGGTCACTGTAGATGATGTTGCAAATGTGTCTTTAAGGTTCCTGATATGGATGATGAAGAAGGGGAGGGAGAGGAGGATGACGATGATGATGAAGAGGAGGAAGGATTAGAGGATATTGATGAAGAAGGAGATGAAGATGAGGGGGAGGAAGATGAAGATGATGATGAGGGAGAGGAAGGAGAGGTGAGTAATTTTTCTCTTCATGCCACTCGTGTGGTGTGTGGGAGGGATCTTGTAAGAATACCAAGCCGTTGTGGCAAAGGTGAACTGGCTCTTTTCTGCACCCCAAGGTGTGAGAACTGTGACTGCATTAGCTTGAGTGGTTTCAGGTAGCAATAAGTATGTTTGTGTGTATGAGAGACAGTGGAAGTACATAGTTTCAGTAAATTTGTAAGGGAAGTGCTCTAGGAGAGCTAAGATTAATGTGACAAAATTCTTACTTCATTACTGAGTATTCTAGCAGTGCTTTACATGTAAATGGCTTTTGTTGATACATCCAGTCATCCTTCCCACTTTTTGGTTTATTTCTGCTTATGGCCAGCCTAGCTAAGACTTTCTGTTGGGCTCAGGAATTAAAACTTTGCTTTAGTAGTAAGTGGGAGTTCAGGTTCAGCATCCAGGGTGTTGGGAAGTTAGTTTAGAATGTCTTTGTTTCTTGAAACTGGGTGTGGTGTGTCTGACTTCAGCAGCACAAACCTCTGGGCTCTGTTCTGTAACCTAGAATTTGGCATGTGAAAGGTGAAGCATTTTGTTCTTTGGAGTTCTAAATGAGGGGGAAGAGATGACCCCTTCATTTTCCACGTGTTAAACTCATGTCACTGCTTGTAGTGATTCTAAATGACAGTTTCTCAAACCTCTGATGTGTTTTCCTTGGGACACCCAGGGAGTGAGTGATTTCTGTGTGGTCAGTAGCTGGGCACCCAGGGCAAGTGTTACCATCCTTTAGTGAGGGAAGAGATGATCATACAGCACCATGAGTAGCACTGTAAAAAGTTCTGGTCACTGCATTTGCTATCTGAAGTTTAGTGATTAGATTTATTTAATTCTTGCTTATCTTTCAACAGGAGGATGAAGGAGAAGATGACTAATTGAACACTGATGGATTCCAAACCCCCTTTTTACCTTTTTAATTTTTCTCCAGTCCCTGGGAGCAAGTTGCTGTCTTTTTTTTCTTGTGCTCAGTCGCCTTGTTCTCTTGAGGTCTCTTTTTCTCTCCTCTACACCATGGTTCACAATTTCTTTTGGGGAAATATCTTGAGCAGAATACAGTGGAAAAGAATCTACCAGTTTCTGTTTCAAGTTCATTTTTATCCCTTTCTGTCTCAAAACAAAAACTGTTTATGAATTCAACACACCATGTTCTGTGGGAAAAAAGAAAACCTTCTGCTCCCTTCACTCTGCTGGAAGCTGAAGAGTGCTAGGCCCCTGTGTAGTAGTGCATAGAATCTAGCTTTTTTCCTTCTTTCTCTGTATATTGGGCTCAGAGATTACACTGTGTCTCTATGTGAATATGGACAGTTAGCATTTACCAACATGTATCTGTCTACTTTCTCTTGTTTAAAAAAAAAGAAAAAAAACAACAAAAAAATAAAAATAAAAATGGGGTTATAGAAGGTCAGCCGGGGTGGGTTTCAGAAGTTTGGGTGGGTTAAGTGGGCATTTTGACAACATGGCTTCTTCTCCTTTGGCATGTTTAATTGTGATGTTTAACAAACATCCTTGCAGTTTAAGATGACACTTTTAAAATAAAATCTTCTCCTAATGATGACTTTGAGCCCTGCCACTTGATGGAGAATCAGCAGAACCTGTAGGATCTTATTTGGAATTGACATTCTCTATTGTAATTTTGTTCTTGTTTATTTTTAAAATTTTTTTGGTTTGTTTTTTTTGTTTTTTTTTTGTTTTTTTTTTGTTTTTTTTTTGTTTTTTTTTTGTTTTTTTTTTGTTTTTTTTTTGTTTTTTTTTTGTTTTTTTTTTGTTTTTTTTTTGTTTTTTTTTTGTTTTTTTTTTGTTTTTTTTTTTGTTTCACTGGAAAGGAAAGAAAGATGCTCAGTTTTAAACGTTAAAGTGTACAAGTTGCTTTGTTACAATAAAACTAAATGTGTACACAAAGGGACTGGTTGGTCTTCACTGAAAGAAACAGCTTTTATATCCTATTTAGAACTTGCTGTAGTTTCTTGGCATTTTTGGGGGCATTTTGTCAGTATTTCTGTAGTGCAGTGCAGCCTTGTGGTTGTGTGGACTGAACCAGTTCATGTAGTTCCCACTATTTCAGTACCTGTAAAGTGTTTCCTGTGGTAGTTCCTACTGCACACTGACTCTTGAGTTCCCTCTAGGGTCGTGTGCTGTGTGTGAAGACACAGGTATATATTCATGTTTTGCAAAAAGAAAAGTCACTTGATTTGTAGAATTTTTAGTAATTTGCAGTACTGTATGTCCAGTACATCAGTTTGCATGAAAACACCATGCAAGCTCAGAATAAAAAGACCAACGGGTGGTTTTAAAATATTTGGGTGGGTTTGTAAATCTTTTCAGTTGAAAACAAATCTTAATTGCAAGCTAATTTGGGGGCTATTTCAAAGAGCAAGATTCTTAGTAAAGTTCATGTATAAAAAGTTGCTACTTCACTGCTTTTTTTTCCTTGGTAGCAGCATGTATATGTGCTTTAGATACACTGTACTCTCATTTTAAGAGACTGCATTTGAGAAACTTGTAACAATTTCACATAAGAGGGTGTTGGAACTGGTATTCCACCAAATGTAATGGAAGTTGTTTTAACATGCTTTGCTTTTGAAATATTTAAGAAAAAATGTTCTATCAGCTCATCTGAAATTCAAACAGCTCTTTGGATGTGTAGAAAAGACTGTCTTCTGGGAAGACTTGTTATATTCTCTGATTCCTTTTCCTCACAGAATTTGCTGTAGTCAAATTCAGCTTTTTTTGATGCCTAAGAATACACTTGGCAGAACAAGATCAATGTCTGGTTGAGACGTGCACAAATAACATGTGTGAGGGAAAACATTCTGTAAGTGTGTGGTCCACCTTGGATTCAATCCAGTTACCAGAGACAATGCAACGTCCAGTCTCATGTGATCAATGCAAAAATAAGACAACCATGTACTTTATTCCATCTCAACAAAAGCTTCTGCCCTCATCCTGCTTTGCAGAGCCAAGTACAACGTTGATCAGTAATGGTTTCTTACCATCTAGAGAGACAAGGAACACAACCCATGAAGTCCTATAAATTTTAGTGTTTTTTAATTTGATTCCTTTCTGTTGTAAGATTGAAAATAGCTTCCTGTTGTGGTAGAGGGTCGATGTGCTGTTTCTTGCCATGATGCCTCATTACTTAATTTTTATGTAGCCCTAATTGTAGTTCCTCAAGTTAAACAATCTTGCTAGTCTTGAATGCTTTAGGAAAAATATTGTGCCATTGTTGTTCCATCCCTGTTGGTTACTAGTAGAAAACTTATAAAAACTGTTTTGAAAGTAATCAAAGCTTCAGGCTCTGTAAAGTCAAATACCAGGGACAAGAAATGAAAAGTCTGGATAATTAAATGCTACTTAAGAGATTTTTCTTGCGCATTCTTTAGGATTTTACAGGGTGCCAAAATACTCTTGCTACTGTACTGATAATACTGATTTTGCTGTGAAACTTGAGGGTTAACTCCTGGCAATGGCTAAAGAGTAAACTGACATGGTAAAAGAATAAACCATATTAGTTAAGTGTTATTTTAATTTTTTTTTTTTCTAGCATGGGAATGATTAGGGATTAACACATTTCTGTGCAATGCTCAAGAAATACTACAGCTGGCCATCGTGTGCTCTGACTGTTCACTTAATGTCTAATTTGGCTGAATATATGTAATGGGTGTCCATTTTTTACTGGATTTATTTTATATGTGTATAAAGAGCTTTTGAAAAGACATCTACCTTGGATAATAATGGGAGATTCATTCTTACTAAATATCATTAATTCCCCATTGCTTGAGCTCCTCACATACAGTTAATCCCACCATGTGGAATTTGTCACAGGTGGTAAATGACTTCAGGTTTTTTGGCTTGAATTTCCAGGGTTAGAACATAGGGTTGGCAGCAATTTAATAAAGGTAAAGCTGCTGTGCTGGGGCTATATGGCCTAATTATCTCAAAGGTTATTTTTAAGTTTAAAGTTTAATTGCTATAAAATGGAATCTTTTGTCTGTAATTTCTCGTGCCAAAGGAAACAAATACAGCTGAGTGTGTAAATACAGTCAGGAAGGTTTGGGGTTTTTAAAGAGATTATCTGTGTACTTATTCATACTTGTCAACATAGTTTCTGTCCCTGTAAACAAAGATTATCTGAATCGATTTCTCAGTCATTTATGATATTCATTTGAATCTGTAAGCTCTTTGTACCACACTAAACCAGGTGCATAAGGATAGTTCTTTGTTTATTGGATACTGTTCCTGAATTTTGAAGCCATGTTGTTTTTTTGTTTTGGTTTGGTTTTTTTGTTTTTTTAAAGAGAATGAAATCAATGAAATAATTTCTCTGCTGTACCTTCAAGCTATCCTTCTGTTTGAAGGAATTAAAATACATTTAACTGTTACTTGATGTTACCATTTCTAAGAGTCTTTTTCAAAAGAATCAGGTTTTTAGTCCCCAACTCTTTCTTTCACGGGTGATGTGGACAGTGCTTGCTTTTCCTTTATGGAGAAGAGTGAAGGGAGGTCGCAAGTGACTGGTACACGACACTTGCTTCCTGCGGGAAAGTGTGCTTAATGTCCTTCCTCCCTCTCCTGGATTAAAAATTGAAACTTTTAAAGACTTTTTCTTGATCATCACCTTTTCCACGTGCTCTCTCGGGTATAGTGGAGGACAGGGACTGCCGGTTCAAGGTCGGGACGCACCTTTAGCCCCCGCCCTGCTCCGGGAACCCCCAAAGAGTCCGCACAGCTCCCGGGCCGCTGCCACCGCCCTTTGCCGGCTGCTGGATCATCCCCGGCACCAGGGCTGCTGCCCTGCGGGATCCTGGAAGGGCTGGAGGGGCACAGCGTGCTCCCAGTGTGACACTTACCTTCCCGCGGGACAGGGGGCTGCCGCATGGGCAGGCGCTGCTGATCCCACGTACCGGCCCCCTCTCTCCGCAGGGTTTGCGGGACGCAGCTGAGCCGTGCCCGGGGAAGGGGGCTGGGATGCTGGGTAGCCAGGGACGCAGCTTCTGGGGTCAGCCGGGAGATGAGAGCCAGCCCTTTCCCTCCAGGCTGGGCAACTCCAGCTCCCCAGCATCCCTGATGGCCCTTGCCCTTCCTCTGCCTCCCCTGGAGGGTCTGAGACCTGAAGGAAAGAGGGGGAAGCTGCTGTAGGAGCCCCGAGTGCGTGGTGGGCAAAGGACCAGCCCAGAGCCCCGAGGGGAACATCCCCAGTGACAGCCAAACACAGCCTTGATCCCGACTGCTGGGACGGATCTGCTGCAGGTGTGGAGGCATCCCTGCTCCTCTGGAACTCAGTCTACGCTTGATAGTTTGATTTTTCCCCCTTCCAGTATTTCCACTGAATGAGCAGTCAAATTAAAATAACTGCTTTAAACACTAAATAGAGCCTGGACCATGTTCTAAATAGCATCAGGTTTCTGAAGGGTTTATATTAATCAAATGCACTTGCTTTATTAACAACAGGGGCATATTCAAAGGCTTTGTATTAGTTTAAGGCTTTATTAATTCAAGTCAATTAAGCTAGGTTCAAATTTTTAAATTTTGAGTTCCTTTTATTAATTACTCTGTTGTAAATCACTTACAAAATGTTTAGGCTAGAAAAATTTTTCTAATTAAGTAAAAGGAACACACTTCTGTTTATTACTGTATTTTTAAATTTGTACGTGAGAATACTATCACTTCCAAATGCCTTCTGATTCACAGTTGTGCACTGCTCCATGATTGAAAAGCATATTAGTAGGATAGTAACATTGTGTAATACTGCTGAGGAGCATCTTTAAACACCTGAAAACAAGAAGTATATTTATATTTTGTTTAAAGCACTGGGCCTGTGACACACTATCGGTTCTGTGTGATACTGTGGCACTACTACAGCACGGTGTTTTTTCACTGCGGTAGCTAGGGGATTGTTACCGGCCTCGCCAATGCACATGGGACGTTTTTTCACTCAAATGTTCAGCAGAATCTGCGTGTGAAGGGGAAAACTTCCCCAGAGCCCAGCACCGCCCCGTTCCAGGGAAAGGATGCAGGGATCCCGTCGCAAGCAGAGCTGCACTTCGCTGGTTCCCCTTCGAACAAGCGCCGGTCACGAGCCCCTGTGGAGAACTGAAACTGGGAACCACCCGATGGCCGCAGCGCCAAGGGCCCGGCTGGGGCCACCCGCGGGCCTTTCTGCTCGGGGCTTCCAGAGGGGCGGAGCGGGGATCCGCCACTGTGCCTGCCGTCCCCTCCCTTCGGCACGGACCCGCAGCCTCTGTGCCACCGCGGGCACCGACCCCTCCAGCCTCTCTCCAGCCTCTCCTTCCCCGGCGGGCGATGTCCGCTACCTCCGCGCCCGCGGCGTCCTCGCTCCTTCCCGCCGCCTCACCGGACCTCGACCGCGCGTTTCCCCTCGGGGCGGGCGGAGGCGGCGGCACCTCCTCAGCCGGGGGCCGGAGCGGCGGCTGCCCCGGGGCCGTGTGGGGAAGGGCGGCTCCCGCTCCTCGTCCCGCTCCCGAGGGCCGCCCGCCGGCAGCTCCCCCGGGCCGCCCCCGCGAGAGGGCGCTGGCGGCGGCCCCGGGACCGCCGAGT